TGTGGACAGTCATCCATTGGATTTTACCACCTCTACTGAACACATACATGGCATTTTCCCCTTCAAGACTCTGAACTCACTTTTATTAAGGGTATTTTGAAGTCACCATGAAAATGAAAGTGCTTGTCTTCTGTCTGTAAGCTGAAAATCAGGGGAATGTTTATTTTATCCCTGACTAGAGAAAGCAGATTCCTCTCCACAATCTAGTATCCCCTTAATCCCAAGCATTAAGGTTTATTTTTCTTTATTCACAATTTCCATCCCAAGTTCCCTTACACCCTGCATTTCTACCTTAGTGAGAAGTCAATTAAACCTGCCACCTACAGTGAAAAGGTATTTAAACCAAACTCCTTTGACTTCTGAATTCACAAGCATAAATATTTTATTTTTTCCTTCAAAACAAAAATGGTCCCCAAAGAAAAAGAAATGTCATAGGCTTGCAACAAAATGAAAACAGATAAAATTGTTTCAATAACTTCAAAAAATACACCTGTTCTTGCCATATCTTTTATATGAAGGGAGTGCATAGTAAGTAAGATATTGAAATTTGCAGGAGTGTATAAGCACTGTTTCTCAGTTATTTCATGCATGGAGATAAGTCAAAGTAAAACAGTTGAGTTTTCTTCATCTATTTAAACATTTAACTAATTAAAAAGAAAAAAAAATCACACCCCTTGCATATAATATATTACTATCCTAGACCTCAGGTGACCATGTTCTACCATAAAACTTGAAACTCATTTTAGGAAATCAACCTGAATCTAATGGGGGAAAGTGAGAAGGGAGATTAAATAATAGTAGGAACAGCACAGTGGCAAACTCAAACAGGAAAAGATGGTGGAGCTTTCAGGTCTACTGCTGATTGACTACAAACCACCCCTAAGTGAAACAAATGATAATCATTCCCCTTCATAATGTGACAGAGTTAAAAAGGATATCCTGTATTTACTAGGATATTTCTCTCCCCATACGCTTTCCCCAACACATTTTGGCAGGCAGTTTTTTTTTGGGGGGGGAGGTAAGAGGAAATCAAGAAAATGTTTAATGTTCTTCCCCTCACCCCCCTTCCTTCTCACTGCAATTAGCATTCATGGTATAGATCACCTATCTACAATTTCAGAGTTGTAAGGAATCCTAGAAGTCATTTAGTGCGACTCCCCCTTCCTCATTTTACAGAGCAGGAAACTGAGGCCCAAAGAAAGTACATGGCTTCTTCAAGGTCAAATACTAATTAATGGAAGAGCCCACTCTTCCATTCTTTTCATTTTCTTCTCTGGTGTTGTGGCAGAAGCTCTGGAATTGGAGTCAGAGGTCCTGATTTCAAATTCTTCCTCAGCTATGTGTGCTTTTGACTTTATATTCTCTGACAATCTGGGCAAGTAATTTCCCTTTTCTGGGCTCAGTTTCCTCATCAATGAAATGGGGGAGTAGGATTAGATGATCTCTAAGCCACATTCCATCTCTACATGTTCTCATTCCATGATCCTCTCTGAAAAACCCACACAGCCTCATAGAAAGCAGCTTTCTTCTAAGTAATAAGGCATTCTTGAAAGAAGGAAGCAATGGATAAGAGCTAAACTTGGATTAATTTTGCTTCTAACTGCTGTGTAACTCTGGGAAAGTTATGATTCTTTAGTAAACATGGGTGAACATTTCCAAGATTAATGAAGGATACTCGAGAATTGCATAGACCAGAACCCAGGTAACTCAACACACAGGATTCCTTATTTAAAGTGCAAGATATCAGGGCAAAGAAAGGAAGAACAATAACATATATTCATATTTTGAGATATAGTTCTGGGAAATTACAAATACTGAATGGTGTCTCCACTAACACCAACAATATCTGGGCCAAGGAAAATCAAAGAATATGAGATTTAAAGGACATATAGAATATATGACAAATATAACCTTGTAAGAGGTTTGGCAGGTTTCCCTGGCACCCAATCAGCATTATATTTGAGGACCCTGCACTCCCAAAATATTTTATGACTCCTAGGCATAGACCATCCAGAGAGGTCCATGGAAGGCTGCATCATATTACCAGAGAAGAACTGGGCAGGAGAGGCACTAAGAAAGATATTGTAATAGGGAAATATGGACAAAAAAGGAAGTGGGCACCTCATATAGAGACAAAGAAAGATTCCCTAATGAAGTCTCCACTGGAGATCTGTGGAAGAAGATCTGAGGAAAAACTCATGGCCAGGGTGGATCCCATGCGAAAGATTTGTAGTAGTATGTGGACAGACATTAAACAGCATAAGAAGGTGTGGACGGGCTATGATCAAGACCACCAACACATAAAATCAACACGTTTACAGATTCATCCAAGTATCAAATTCTACACAAAAGGTAAATGAGAATCTATAATGTGATTTCAATCATCCAGAAAGAAGGAGTTCACTCTTTGGAAATGAGTTTCAGGCTGTTTAGAATCCATGCCCTATAATTCCTCCTGGGCCCTCAATGGTAGACTGGTGGCCTAAAAAAGGAATCCATTTCCTGTCACTCTCCCCTCTCCTCCCCCGCCCCAACATAGAAAAGATGAAGGTCTTCCTCTGTCATGAAACTAACTAAGAGTTCTTATTTCTCTAAAAAACGTGACCAGGGAAGCTAGGCAGAACCGTGGATAGAACACTGGGCTTGGAATCAGGAAGACTTACCTTCATGAGTTCAAATCTGGCCTCAGACCCTTACTAGCTCTGTGAGCCTGGGCAAGTCACTTCACCCTGTTTGCCTTAATTTCTTCATCTATAAAATGAGCCAGAGAAGGAAATGGCAAACCACTCCAGTATCTTTGACAAGAAAACCCTAAAAGGGGTCATAAAGAACTCGACACGATTGAAAAATGATTCAACAACATAAAAAATATGATCAGTCATCTAACTTCATTCCCGCCAATACAGTTTTAAAATACACTCCCCCAAAATTGGAAGACTAATACATTGTTGGTGGAGTTGTGAAACGATCCAACCATTTTGGAGAACAATTTGGAACTATGCCCAAAGGGCTACAAAAATGTGCACACCCTTTGACCCAGCAATAGCACTTCTAGGGCCATATCCCAGAGAGATCAGACAAATGGGAAAAGGACCCACATGGACAAAAATATTCATAGCAGCTCTTTTTGTGGTGGCAAAGAATTGGAAATTGAGAGGATGCCCATCAATTGGGGAAGGGCTGAGCAAGTTGTGGTATATGAATGTAATGGAATACTATCGTGCTATAAGAAATGATGAACAGGCTGATTTCAGAAAAACCTGGAAAGACTTGTATGGTCTGATGCTGAGTGAAGTGAGCAGAACCAAGAGGACTCTGTACACAATAACAGCCATGTTATGCGATGACTAATATTGTTAAACTGAACCCTTCTCAGCATTACAAGGATCTAAGACATCTCCAGAGGCCTCGGGATGGAAAATGCTATCCACATCCAAAGAAAAGAACTACGGAAGTTGAATCGATATCACTTATTTTTACCTTCTGTTGAGTTTTGTTTCATCTTTCTGATGGTTCCTCCTATTGGTTTTAATTTTTACTTACAACTTCACTAATGTGAAAATATGTTTAATCGGAATGTAAATGGAAAGCCTATATCAGATTGTGCGCCGTTTTGGAGAGGGTGGTGGAGGGAGGGGGAGAAAAATTTTCAACTCAAAAGAATATAGAAGTGATTGTTGATAAATCAAAATAAATTAATGAAATAAAATAAAATACACTCCCAAACAATTTTCTTTTCTCAATAGTAAATTGAACAAGTCTCTTACATCATTGTTACTATTCTTAGCTATTGTTCTGAAAGCTTCTACTTCCAATCCCCAAGCAGTTTAATGAGGGCACAGCCTAGAAATCCCATCTGGGCGTGTCTCACTTCTAAAATGATATTGATCTTAGAGGGGAGAATGGAATCTCTTCTCTTTGTTTCTTTTTTCTGAGTGAAAAACAAGGAAATAGCCAGGATAGAAGTTTCATAAATATCTCACCTGGCAATACCCACATCAACCACATTTGTAGCGCCTTGATCAGTATAAAGTAACGAGGAAGCCTCTTTAAGGCTAATTTCTAAGTACAAATCACAGCCATAGATTCCAGATGAGCATTTAGATTGCAATACAGAATTTCGTTCACTGTCACACTCTTCTCCCTCTCTCCCTACTTAGCCAGGTTGATAGAAGGAAATGCGTATCTAGGGAGTGAGTATAAAATGCATGGGCACATCTTTACTTAGCAATACATCTGACAAAATAAAAATAAACCTGCAGATTTTTTTTTTTGCCAACTCCCTAAATCCCATTGCAATGGTTCCTACCAAAGGCAGAGGAAGTAAAAGGTTTGTCAGTAACAGGTAGATGGAAAGAAAACAATTCTACAAATGAAAATCTCAGTGACATGAATCCAGAAACAGAATTTATTCCTACTAAAATCTTTCCTTTTCAGAATAAAATCAGAAATATCTCCCTTTTTTTCTTTTCTATCTATAGGAATATATATTTTTTTTACTTTCTTGATCTTCTGTGTAAACTAGTAGAAATACAAAAATAAAATTGACTCAAAAACAATCATATAACATTTTGCCACCATTTTGACACCCAACTCTTAAAACATACACTAAGTCCGTCCTGAAACCAGCAATTAAAAAAACTGAAGGCATCTTAAGAAAACCATCGATTTTCCAGCCCGGTGGAGAAATTTAAAGCCTAAGTTACACAGACAACTTGTACAAGCACCGGTTTATTTATACATCTGATAAGTGAAATGGTCAGTAGAAAATTTCCCTCGAAGGTCACAGTTGCTAAGCAACCACTTTCAGAAGTTCTGCAACATCGCTCAACCATGTTCCTGGTTCCAATGACTGATTTCAGAATAAATATGAATAACATCTTACCTGGTTTCCTCCAAGGGAAAAAAAATTTCTCTCACCATTCTTTGGAAGACCGCGGGAGGCCACTCTTGGGTTCTTTGGGTCTGTCAGCTTTGGGGGACTTTTCAAAAAAGGATACGTCCTGGGACCACCGGCTTCCTGTTCACGAGAGCAAAGGACAATTCCGTCCTCAAAAACACCACGGAAGGCTTGATGAGATGCTGCCCAAATATGAAAGACATCCTTCCTTATAGCTCAAGTCTGATGGAGAAGGAAAAGAAGAGAACACTTTATGTGGTTTGACTGTGAAATTGATGGAAAACAAACAAACACACGTCCAAACACAATCTGAGGGAAAGAAATCCAAGAGAGCTTATTATTTTATCGAATAGCCTGTCCTAGTGGGATCCTGTTTAATAGCCACAGAGACAGAGGGAGAAAGCTATCCTAAAGTATTTCACTTTTGCTGATAGGTTGCCTCTTCTTGTCTTTTAAAGCATAATATCTCAGCAAGATTATCTCAAAAGCAAAAATGATCTCCAGAATCACAAACTGCTCTTTTCCTGAAATCACTGGGAATTTGTTAATTAATTTTCATTTGGGCTCCCTCATCCCATTCCTTCCACCATCTTGGCACCTCAGTAAGAAGCTGCATCTACTACCTCTATTGCCAAAAACCTCTTTTAGTTTCTAAACCTTCTCACCCATGATTTTATCCTTGTTTGTATCACACTCACTTAGAAAAGCATCACCAGGACCTGACCTTGCTCAAGATTATGTAATCACATCAACATATACACATACAACATGTACTCGTATAAACACACACATCTTTCTTGTGGAGCAAAGGAACAGTTTTCTCAGATCAAAAAAGAAAAGAGATAAGCAAAATAATGAATGTTTAAGATAAGAATGAATGACTTAGTCAAAGAAACAGTGGCAGGATTCAGAATGATGTTGATCAGTTCCCTTTCACAGGAAAACAATAGGAAAGCTTTAGAGCAAGACTGATTTAAGATTGAGGGTGAACAAAACCGATCCAGGACAGAAACCACCGGCAATGATTTTCATTTAGCTGGATTTCTCTCCATGACAAAGGTTCTTCTGGAACAACCAAGGTTCATCCCCTTGAGGTCTTGGCCTTATTGAAACTTGGGAGCATCACTGAGCAAAAGAGAGATGGTGAGAAGACAGAAACAGGAGAAGACAGAAGGAAGAAGACTACTTATCAAATGAACCTACTATCAGGAGTGTCGTCTTTTTGTGATGCGTGGTATCACCAAAGGTACCAAGTGGTTTTAGGAACACGCTATGCAAATTAGTGTTCTTCACATTTCAGATGGCCAGAGCAGCACAGTCATCATAAGAGAAGAGAAATGAAGGGGAGAGGCCCAGAGAAAACAGAGACTGGTGGACCAAAAATGCTTTTTCCTTCTTGTTGTTCACATGCTTACCAAGCATGGTCACGCTACATGGAGTCTTATTTATCTCATGGGTATGGAACAGTCCCTGCCCCATGATGGCTTCTGCTTTACCATAGATAAGGAGATAACATTTTTTTTAAAAGCAAAGACCTGCAGAAAGAGGAAATCCTAACAACTGAAAGAGTTTGGAAGGAGGAGGCACTTGAGGAGGGTTTCAGGGAGCAAGAGGGTTCCAGAGGCAGAGGTGAGGGGGAACTCTCCATCTCTGGCCACAGTATATCCCGGTATAATGTATCCAACAGCTCCCACTTGCAGAAGTTTTTCACTGAAGATAAGTACATAAATTTATTAAGCAAACAGAATTAAAATGTATACTAAAATGGGTCATATTGGGGAAGTTCATCATAGGATGATAGATTTGAAAATGGAATAGAATTTATAGACCACTGAGTGCATGGCCTCCTCATTTTACAGATGAGGAAACTGAGGCTTGGAGAGGTGAACGTGTCCTGCCCAAAGTCACAGTGGCAGGAGAGGGACTTAAATCTAGTTCCTTTGACCCAGGACTGATTCTGTATAATATCTGGTTCAATCAGATACTTGCAACTTCAAGAACTTAGTTTTAATATTTTTTTTCCTGACAGCTTTTTTAACATTTTATTTTTCCCCAATTACATGTAAAAACAATTTTTAACTTTAATAACTTTTAACATCACATCCACCACACTCAGAGAGAAAAGACAAATACACAGAAGGTAGGAAAGGAGGGCTCAAGTTTAAGAGAGAGAGAGAAACACACAGAAGTATAGAACATGGGGAAGAGAAGAAGAAAATAGCTCAGGGAAGCTAGGACAGAACAATAGATACCTTTCCTGGGGTCCTAGTGGACTCCAGAAATAATTAATTTTTTAAAAATTTAATTAATTTATTTTGAATTATCAACAATCACTTCCATAAGCTTTTGAGTTTTGAATTTTTCTCCCCCTCCCTCCTCACCTCCTTCCCCAAGATGCCTCGCCATCTGATGTAAGCTATACATATATATATTCCTATTTAACATATTTTCACATTACTGATGTTGTAAGTAAGAATTAGAACCAACAGGAGGAACCACCAGAAAGAGGAACAAAACACAATAGAAGAAAAAAAATAGCAAATAATATGTTTCAATCTGCATTCAAACTCCATAGTTCTTTCTTTGGACGTGGATGGCATTTTCCATCATGAGGCCTTTGGAAACGTCTTAGATTCTTGTATTGCTGAGAAGGGTTAAGTCTATCAATTTTACTCATTGTACAACATGGCTGTTACTGTGTACAACATTCTCCTGGTTCTGCTCACTTCACCCAGCATCAGACCATACAAGTCTTTCCAGGTTTTTCTGAAATCCGGCTGCTCATCATTTCTTATAGCACAGTAGTATTCCATTACATTCATATACCACAACTTGCTCAGCCATTCCCCAGTTGATGGGCATCCTCTCAATTTCCAGTTCTTTGCCACCACAAAAAGAGCTGCTATGAATATTTTTGTACATGTGGGTTCTTTTCCCATTTGTATGATCTCTCTGGGATACAGCCCTAGAAGTGCTATTGCTGGGTCAGAGGAATAATTTTTGCTAATGCATATTCAAGGTCCCATGTCAGAGGGAAGAGCAAAGCTGTTTTTGAGCTTCTAAGACAATAAAAAGAATGACCAACAGGTAGAAAAAGAGGCAGAGCTATTGGGTGGCTAAGCATCTTGGAACTCCTCTCCAAGCTAGAGACAGAAAGGGACAAGGGAGGAAGCCCGGCCAATCACCTTTTTCAAAACAAGAAGCCGCAGCCAAAGGGAGAAGGGGGGACCTCCCCCACTATTAGGACATATTTTTTAAAACTGCAGGATACATGAGCTCCCTGCCACCCCTAATTTTCCCAAGGTAGAGGTAGCTCTATATACATAGCTGTTCTTTGTTCTACTCTCTCTCTATTTCAGTCTGTCTGGCCTTGCAAACATTCATTTCATCTTTACACAGAAAAAAAAAAAACAATTAGAAAGCTGCACAAAAGATCAGCATGGAGCACTTAGCTGTCTTCTTCAAGAGCCAGGCTAATTTACTGTGGAAGAAGCAGGGGATCCCTGTAGGGACCTTCTGTAGAGTAAAGTGCTCAGTTCAGTTTAGGTCTGGGAATTACAGACTAAACAGGCATAGGCGTTGGGCTTTCTGGGTTTTTTGTTTTTGCAGCGGGTGGGGAGAGAAATAGAAATAAGTTTCTTTTATCCTGTTTATATCATGAGTGAAATTTTGTTCCAAAATTGTCACCATGCTATTATATTCTCATTTTACAGATGAGGAAACTGAGGCAGGTGGTGGTTAAGTAGTTTGCTCAGGCTTTCTCTCTCTCTTTCTCCCTCTCTCTTTCCCTCTGTGTCTGTCTGTCTGTCTGTCTGTCTGTCTCTCTCTCTCTCTCTGTCTCTCTCTCTCTCTCTGTCTCTCTCTCTCTCTCTCTCTCTCTCTCTCTCTCTCACACACACACACACACACACACACAGAGTTATTAATAGGTATCAAAGGCTAGCTCAGGTTTTCCTGACCCCAGCTCCAGCTCTCTCTCCACTGAGCTACCTAGGCCTGATTTAATACTCAGACAGAATGATCACTATGGCCTTCACAAATATTCAGTAAACAACCTACTAATGCCATCCAACCTCCCCAACCCAAAATACATAAACTGTCTGCAAGGCTGACATCAATATCAAATGGCAGGGTGTAGTTTTATTGGACTAAATGACATAACCAGTTGAATTTCAATTATAAATAACAGCATCAAATGTGCCAAGGTATCATTCCATAACTGGGACACAGCTCAGAGGAGCCCGTGGTAATCTTTACATTCTGTATTCTGGTCTGTCAGGGCATATGTAGGAAATTTAGAAACTTCGTTGTTGTTCATCTTTCATTCCTGAAAAGGAACAAGGACATCATGAGGATATGACTTGCTCCTGAATTGGATTTAAGTGAGGCAGAGCTGCACAAAGTCATCAGCCTCAGTTTCTCTTCCAGAGTCAGCAAAGTCCAGCAGCAAGACCTTGGCCTTTCTTAACTAAGGTCTTTCCCAGGCCTCAGTTTGTCTGAAGCAATGCCCATTCAATGACTAAGGGCTAGGTAAGAATTGAGACAAAATTTACCACCACAAAATTATCAGGCTGGGGTAAGGGGAAGACTCTCAAAATTTCTGGACAGGGCAAAAAACAATTGCTACAGCCTGGCAGACATGTCTAGCAGATAGACCATTTTGGTTTCCTTTGTCTGTCATTATCTATAAGGTAGTTGGACAGAGGGAGGGTTTGATTTGGAGCAATGGAGACTTGAGCTCCAAACTTATTTCAGACATTAAAAGGCTAATTGATTCACTGTCTCATTCCCTAGAATGATTTTTCTAACCCTTTTTCCTTTTCCTTCAAACCTCCTATGGCTCCCCTCCCTGACCCTCTCAGTTAAGAACCTGGCTAGTACTGGACTAAGGAAATTGAGGCCCTTTGTCTAGAGCACAACTCTTCGACTCTCTTCCACATCTCCCATCACAAATGCCTTTGCTTACTATCTCCTCCTTCCCCTTGCCAAGGCAAATGCTTCTACATGTACAAATGACCTCATTCCATCTCATCATCTCCAGCAGATTGCCTTTGCTATCATCTTCACTGTCTCCCTAATATTTAATCTCTGTGTCTACTGGCTGCTTCGCTACCACCTTCAGACATACTCATGTCTTCCCTATACTGGAAAAAAAAAACCTTTTCTTGATCTATCTATTCCCCCCTAATTATTGTCTTATACTCTCCTCCATTTTTTAGCTA